ATTATGATAATAGACCACACAGTCACATGATATTGTCACACTATGTTTATCTGTCAATACCTTGATTACATTCATAATATTATACCATATCCTATTCTGGGATAAGATATACCACATGGGCTATGGTATGTCCTATTCTTCACACGTTCCCACAGCCCCACCTTTCTAGTCTGCCTATGACTCCTGATGGTTGTTTACCAATATCTGACATAATCAAACTGTCATTTCAACCATATTTCTTGAATACATATTAAATTAGGCGTTTCTAAAAATTCTGAAAAGATTTTGTAAAATTCTTGTCCATTGGCTTCAAGACTCATTGAATTCCACAGTAAAATACACGAAGAGCCATCAGACCTTGACAGAAAGTTAGTATTTCTGGAATTTAACATTCTTCTACTGTTTCACGGTGTAGTCCTTAGATAATAATTGTATTGTTTTTTCCTGTCTTAAACAGTAACAGCAAATACAGTAACACACTGTTTCCTTGCAACAAACAGTTTTGTGTGAGCACATCCCACGGATCTGTTTACTGTGGAGCCCTTTTGAGTGTTTTTCAATCTTCTGTTTCTTTTTGGTGAGTCCGAAGTGTGGCCTCAGTTTCCTGTTCTTAGCTGACAGTTGTGCCCCCCACAGTGGGGCCCCCACAGTGGTCTTCTGTTGCTGTAACACAGATGTGTAAATAACGCATAAAGATACATGCATAAGAGGTCATTTCATTAACGCTGTCTGTAAACTACAGCTCATTCATCAATATAAGGAAAGCCATTACACATAAAACCAGACAGGGAAACACAGTCATCACCGAGCCATCATCCTCCTCCTCCTGCTGCTGATTCAAGCGACCGGAAATAGAAATGTTACTGTAAAAATAAAACCTCAACAATATTCATATTTTAGCTTGTTTATGGTATGTTATATATTAATTATTATTTTTTAATTAATCTTTATTCAGTGGTTATTTCTGAACTCGAATGAATCTAGTTTTTTCTTTTTCTTAACGTGGTTTTATTGCGACATAAACAGAAATGCTTTGCGTGGTTCTGTCTCACGTGACAGCCTGTTTTGTTTTCGTTTAGTGCTGAAGAGGAAGTGTCTTTCTGTTTGGTCAGTGGGATTCAAAAATATAAGACAATCACGAGGTTTTCACCGTATAATATCGTAGCAGGTATCGTACGGAGGTTTTACTTGTTCCGTAGCCGGTGTAGCTGAGCCGACTTCCGCCTGTGCGTCCTGCACGGACACGTCCGCAGCATCCTGGCAGCTCTAAAACGCGTTAAATGAAGTACATGCCAACAGCAAAACCACTGATGCTGATGACAAAGACGAGTCATACGTGTTTGATCGTTTCCAGCATGGCCTCTTTGGTCCTGCTCATGATGGTGCTCTACGGGACCATGAGCAGCCAGCAGCCGGGCGGCTCGAGCCTCAGACACGACTACCAGCTGCTGGGCAGACCCCTGTACAAGCTGGATCTGAGCTGGCCCAAGAACCCGGAGCTCTACACCGGAGACGTGTTTGGAGTGGCGGTCAACCAGTATGCTGGGGTGGTGTATGTGGCTCAGAGAGGTAATCACACTGTTGGTAAACTTCAGAGTCAAACATCATACTGGATCATAATGGAGACTGCGTCATTAGTGTCAGTGCACATGATCTTAATTGTTATCTGTTACGATAAGGCCGACATTTGGAAATTGCTTCATTACAGAAGTTAATTTAATAATAATAATAAATAATAATAATAATAAATGTAGCAAAAACAGTTCTGCTGATGTCAGAGGAAGTAGCTCACTGTGTCAGCGTGTAAGGGCACCAGGTGGCAGCAATGGTTTTATAGATGTTGCCAATGCAACCCAGTGTGGAGCAGGGCTGGACTGGGACACAAAATGGGCCCAGGCATTTTGAGTAGAGGCCCCAGGTATTATAGGAAAAGCCACAAAGCCTTTGAACCTTTGAATGAAACACTGCAGTGACAGTGATGTACTGTCTTGTTGGTATATGTATGATTTCTATACAGTTTACATCAGATGACCACTTTAGTTTAAAGATTCAGATAATTATTTA